AGAGAGAACTGGGGGAAAAGCCGGAGAGCAGATCTCTGTGGCTGCCAACATTTTTGGGCGGCAGCAACACGTTCTCCGCTCGTGAGCCACGCACACTTCCGGTGGAAGGCGGGAAAAGTCGCGGAGAGCTCGGAGGAAATTTTTCAAATGGGTAGCGCGGGAGGGTAGGGTGTATGGGTAATATTTGGAGGGGAAGAAAGTCGGGGAAATGTGTGAGGTATAGAGAGACGACGACGACGACCACGACGAAGAAGCTGCATTCGTTGGCCATAAACAATGGTATGGTAGTTGCAACAATCTGTGGCCAGCCCCAAAAGCGTTAAACAAAAGGCCCAGTGCCCCCCATCCCCTGGAAAAATATATTTTGCCGACCAGTCCCCAACCATACTCCACATTCAAGTTGGTTGTCTCATCAAAACATTACCCTGGTTTAAGGGGCAAAAAGGAAATGGTAACAAAACATATTTTAACATTTCAAATTATTGAAAGAGAGTTTGGAAATCAATGATCTTTGATCTTTTTTATTTAATTTAAATTTTTAAAATTTAATATTAAAACTAAAATCCTTTATTAATAAAATGTTGTTGTATGTCTGCTTGGTAAATTAGTTTTTTATATATCTAGTATAAATTGATCATAAATTATAAGCCAGAACAAGTTTTGTGCTAACATTGTGCTAGTCTATACATTAATAATAATAATAAAAACTATTAAAAAATATAAAATCTTACCTAAAACTAAAAACAAAATATATCTTGCAGAATTTTAAACAATTTTCAATGCAATTCTTTGGCTGTTTGAAAGCACTGTGCCTTTTGGCCAAACTATTTACATACTCGTATTTATTTCTCGCACGCTCGCGAATGGCGAACAACTCACGAGAGGACAACGAAGTAGGAGAAAGGATAATGCAGAAGGGAAAAGGAGCATATGAGTTGACAACGACGATGACAACGAAAGCGAAGAGGACAGTCGGCAACGCGACCAGGACCCGATATCCAATGATTTGAAGCGACATTTGCTAGGAGTTCTGACTTCGAGTTGGAAAATCTTCGCGGAAAGGGATACCATAAGATGCACTTAAAATAAATTTGTAAAAATAACATTTTACATATTTTGGTGTACAACAGATCTAAATTTATAAAATATTAAACAAGCTAATCAGAGATTAGCTTAAAGTTCCCTTAAGGTGCAGTCAATTTTAATGAAATAAATTCTAGAAAGGCTATAAGGATTACTAGAGTTTCAAGTCATCTTTGACTATATTCCTTAAAGAAATCAATGCAATCTAACATATATTTTAAAAAATTATAATATTATTGATATAAATTTCTCTCAGTGCCGGAGTGAAGGGTTTCCGCTCTGCATTGTTGTGATTTCCGCTCATTATTGCTGCAATCAGGCTGACGGAGCCGCGCCGAGCAGAGCAACGTTGAGCCCTTTGTCCTGTGTCCTGTGGCAGGACATGTGACGTGGCGGCAGTCGAGCCGGGATTTATGCGTATTTTGATTCTTGCGCCTAGACATCATGCCGGGCATATCAATTGGAGTTTTATGGGGACTGAGACTGAAGCTGATGCTGGGTGGAAATAAAAAGCGTCTGCCATATCCGCTGGCCGATTTGATTAAGTTGTCCCAGTGCGACCAGCTGCCTCAGTAAACTGCCTACAGCTGTGGCCAAAATGATAGATATGAAGATCCCTCAAAAGGACCTCTTAATAACAAAGCCAAATAACAAATATTAACTTGTTTTGGCTGACTACATCATCTTTTAAGTTTTATAATTACTAGACACTAAGTTCAATTATCATTACACTTCAAAACCTTACTATTTCTCCATCAGTTTTTATTTATTTGATGACAACTCCATCACTGACCACAGCTGTACATATATGGTTATATATATATCTGAACTGTCCTCTGAATCCGAATCCGGATCTCATTCCGCGTCGGACAGCTGCCGCAAAATGGTCCGGAGACAGTTTATTTAGAAGGAAGTTGCCACAAATTGAGGATGGCAAATGGAGGCCGCCATCAAAATTCAATTGGTTTGAGGACTACGTGAGTCGCCTTTCGTACTCAGCTCGGCTTTCCCGAATTTCCATCTCTCCATCTCCAGACAATGGCGGAGCGGATCCCTCTGCATAATTCGGCCATTAGGCGATGTCCTCTCGTTTCTTGGCCCTGATTTCCCAGACGAAGACAATGTCCGGAAGGCCTCGCGACTCATTAATGCACACCAAAAACATTACCCGGATGTGAAATGTGAAATGCATGGCACTCACTCTGTTTTGTCGCCTTTTCCGATGCTTAGATTTTTCTGCTTCTCCGTCATTGGGCCCAGCGCCAAATGTTGCATTAAAATCGCACGGACAGTCCCCGCCGGAACAAAAAAAAACATGTTAATTACCTCTTGGGCGGAGGCCCTTCTAGAGGTGTATCTATCGAGTGCCAAATATGATATTTTATTTCACGGAAATGCTACCATTAAAGGTAGAAGAAAATTTTGAACCGAGCAGAAATTTCCTTAAAAGGGAATGCAGTGGGAAGGAAAAGTAAATTGAGGGACTTATAATCGGTTTATTTAATTCATTCTTTAACTGTTCAAGGATCTCTCAGCTGACTATTAATATTTAAAAAATATATGTCAAATTTAGAAGTCACAGGGCTTCAAACCTTGAGGCTTTCTGATTGGTAATATTATAGTTGTATCAGAACTTTGTGTTATTATTTCTCCACTAAATTAGATGTCATTATTCTTGTTTTGTGTTTTCTTAAAGATTCCTATGTGTTCATTCTTTAATGAAGTGTATTCTTTAGTCAAATTTAGTTATTTTCTTTGGTATTAACCGGAGCCCCAGTAAAATATTTACTGCCTATAGCATTATATCTTTCGATGTTTGGTCGCATAATATAAATAATAAACTACTTTTATTTGGTTCATCATAAATAATTTACATGATTTCCACACTTAAAATTATCTTCATCATTCTTGTTCTGTGCTTTTGTGAAATATTCTTTAAGGATTATTCTTTAATTTTTTTTTAGTATCAATTGCCTTAGGATTAACCAGTTTTTCTTTAAATATCAACTGGTTGTAGGGTTCTTTCGTTGGTTAATTGTATAACATAAACCATAATCTATTTCTATATGATAATCAGCAATTCTGTTAATTATTTTATTAGTCCAATGCTTTGTTATGTAAAATATTACTAAGGGGTTATGACAGAACATTCTTAAGTATTAATTAACTCAACTTCCTAAGTATTTATTTACCCTTTAAAATAGATATTGCCTATAGGGTTATATCTTTAGATGGTTGGTCGCCGGTGGGAGGTGTAATATAAACCGCAATAAAGGGAAATACAATGTTCCCTGTTGGGAAATATGCAGACATCCATTGGATATATCTCTGTAGAATCAGATACAAAAGAGAACGGAGGTCCCATAAAACTTGTGGTTATTGGGCAGATAAAGATTTTTTGGGGAAATGTTGTTTCCCCCGCCACTTTCATGTAGTTTCTCATTTCCGACAAACACTTTGATGGACTGCTCGATGTTCCGCCCCCGTGGACCCATGGATCCCTTTTCCAGGTCTGAGATTTCCTCCCCCCACCCCCTTTTCAAGCCTTCTCCGCCTCCCCTCCATGAGGCACTCCCCTGCAGCTCGTTATGATTTTATGATCGACAGGGAACCGCACACGCGGATTTTATGAGCGATGTCAAATGGTTGCGTCAGTTCTTGTTGCGATCGGAAAGAAATATGATTTGTAAGATTGGATATCAAAAACGCTTTAACGAGCAAAGCATTCTTTTTTGCTTGTTTTTTTTCTTTTTTCTTGGATACTTCTTGGATATTCCCTAGGGCGGCAGGTGGGGAGATCGAGGTAGTGGCTCACGGGGCGGGGTCTACGCACACTTGCCACATAAATTATAATTTTTTCAGCACCCTCAGAAGCAGCGGGAAGGCGGCGTAAATAAATAAATTAATGGAAATATCAAGCACCCTGCGCATAAAATTGATAAAAGACGTTTGTATTAAAGGGAAATCGGTGCGAGTCTCGGGGAATCGGAGAATTGAAAAAAAAAGGGGAAAATGCAGGCATCGCCCATAGGTTTTGAGTTTAAATGGGTCAAGCGATTGCATTCTGTATTTTTTTTTGTTTTCTCCTATTTTTTTTTTTTTTAACAAAAATAGCGCAGACGGAAAATATAATAACAGAGCGCATGGTGCTGGAAAAACTGGAGAAAGTGCGTCCAAAAATAGTTCTCGCTACGTTTTCCGGTGGCTGTGCGGCAGCAACATGCAACATGCAACGCATGCAACGATGGAGTGTGGGCCTGAAGCAACTGCAGCGTCTGTGCCGCATTAATGCGTCATCCCCACCATGTCCATTTCCATTTCCATCGCCAGATCATCAGAGTCTCGATTTTATGACTCTATAATGGTTCGACTAACAAAAGAGACAACGCCTCGGAAAGTGCGAAAGGTCATTGTTGTTGCTGCCATCGGTGGTGCATTGGGAATCCCCAAAGGTCGGCTAGACAGAGTCTCAACCTCTCAGGATGAAGCCACCCCTCCGGCAAAGGCTTGTTAAATCAATAGCAAGACTCTTAATACTATTCAATTTTTTAATAATTAATTAATTATTTAAAGAGTAGAGTTCACATTCTAAGAAGAACATAGAAAAATAATACAAGTGCTTCTTAAAATCCATTTTTAAAATAGTTTAACAAAAGCTTTGCTATCCAACAAGGACTTTATTTTTTCCACACTTTTCCTTGCTTCCAAACTTAAAGCTTTTCTAAAGATTTCCACAAAGCTGCCAAGCATTTTCCGACACTCAACCCGGGAAAAGCTCTTTGGCGCAGAAGTTTTCACAGTTTTCCACCCATAACAATCGCTTTTAGACAGTTTCAATGCCAATGAGGAAAGCTTTTTAGCTTCCGCCGTTAGACTATATATGTTTTAAAAAATAGAATAAAATAGCTTTTTGGTACTTACCTGAAAAATAGTGTAAACGCTACCCATTGATAATATTTTGTGTGCTTTATTGTTAGAGGCCCGCGGCCCTGTGAATTGTGAACTCCGGGAAAAGGCACCTCGGAACCTTGCTTCTTCATAAACGCATCGACCACTGTATACGTTGAGTGTATCCAACAATATGTGTTGAGAACATCTTCGGGAATGTCTCTGCAAATCGGATTAATCGAATTAAGTGGCAGTTATCGATATTATGAATCGATTGCTTACCTTGTGTGTACACAGTCTATGGGATTTCCTACGTACTGCCGCGTCGTCACAGCAATCGAGAATGTGATCAGTAATATAACCGTTGCGTTGGTGTGCAGGCGAAAAACAGGTGAATCGATTTTGACATGAGACACCTGTGCTCCGTCATCGAGGCGTTATCGAAGTCGTGGTGTGTTTTGTGGTGTGATTTATCGTGTTTCGATTTTATTTTATTTTTTTTTTGTTTTTTAATCGAACGGGGACGAAGAGAGAGAACATTATTATTGGATGTCTTGGCAGGAGTTTAATTTAAATAAGTTCAACGCAAAAGGTAACCAAAAGGTAAACGAAAAACGGATGATGAGAGAAATCTCTGGAACGCAAAACGTTTGCAATGTCTGTTCTGAATGGAATCGAGATCGTCGCTCGGGTGCTTTTATCACATGGGATATATATTTCTGGTTATGTACATTCATATATGGCTATTTGTCGTTATCGAACAGTTTCTGTTCCGCTTCAGAGGGGCCTTACAATTAGCTAACTCACTTAAAAATTAACGGGTGTCCCCACTCCGCCCTCAAGCTGAGTTCAAATAGATATGGGTTAGTATAGGGACACTATTTGTGTTCCTGTTCAGGTTGCAGGCGGAGTGGAGAGTGTTTAAATTACTGCGAAATAAATACAATTTGCTTTTGTGGAAGTTCTCGAATTCATTTCGGGTTTTTCTCATATCTTTTGTCGATTATTCTAGGCAGGTAAGTATAGTAAGGTGTCACAGCAATTGTTTCGGCTTGCTTCCTTTCTTCAATTAATACGAAACTCAAGAAATCAAAAAACGAAGTTTTATGTGTATGAGCCAGAGATAGAAGAGATAGATATAGATAGAGATTGAGAGGTGTGAGAATAAACGAAAGGTGATTGAACTGCTGGGAATGCAAATTTCGAGGTTTCTTTTTGCATTTGAAGGCGGCCACTGAGATGGTTATGGAACATATATAGTTTTCGGATTGGAATAGGTTGAGAGATGAGAGTGCTTTTCGAGAAGGAGAACTGACCAATTCCTGGCCGCGGTGAGACTTTTTCTAAAACCAATCAAACTTCGCTGCAGATTTTGTTATCGAATTGAAATTGTTTTCTGATTGTAACGATGACCACTTAATCGATATTTTTCAAAATGTTATCGCTCGACTGACTGTCTGACTGACTGACTGACTGTCTGATTGATCGTTTTACTAGTTATGGCTGTAGTTGTAAATCAAAAGAAAACACAGAGTTAGGAGGCAGAGAGACCTGTGAAATTTCGATAATGGCTTAGTTCAGAATTTGAGAATTGAATCGAGGATTGAATTGAATTGATTTGAATTGAATTGAATGCAGATTGATTGGTTGAGTGGTTCAGTGAGTGGTTCAGTTGTTAAATATCGATTTGGATTTGGATTTGTTGTTCGTTTGTGGCGGCTTTAGCGAGGTGAGTTTCGTGAGCTGAGCTGTGGTGAGAGACATACTTTAAGAGGTGAATACTGGTACTGCATAGGTGAGCAGTGATTCTGTGATCAGTGATCAGTGGTCTGTGATCAGTTGTGAGTTCATAACTTTGGTGCCACAGCCGCTAAGCTGCGCTTGGTGGTGAATTGTGATCTGTGATCTGTGATCTGGGTGGTGGTAGTGGTGGTTTCAGTGGTTTTAGTGGTTTCAGTGGCTTTGTGTGGGTGTTGAGTGGTGAAGTTGAGAGCGCGAGAGCGAACGAAACAGAGATAGAGAGTGATCGAGTGAGTGAGCGTACAATATAGAAATAATTGAGTATATAAGAGTAGAATGTTAATTGAATTAATTAATTAATACGTGGTGATAAATCTAGGTGAGTTTGAGATTGAATTGAATTATCTTGAATAGAATTGAGTTGAGTTGAATTGAATTGAATTGATTGAATGTGGCGAAAAATGTACGAGAACTGCTTATATAAGATGGTTGAAAATCGGTTTACGTTTAATCTAAGAAATCAAACACAATACACATGTTAGAGTGAGACAAACAGACATAGAGAGCGAGAGATACATATAATATATAGAGGTTTATATATATATTTTATTACTGAGAGAGTGAGAGAGATAGAGTGTGTGTGGTAGATAGAGACAGTTAGCGCTGCAAAGCTGGGTTCAAGGCTTTTATTGGGTCTGATTTCATTTTGGCTTGTAGTTTAGTTTCAACAGTAATAGCCTAGATGGACGAATGCCTTGAGTTTTCAAATCACATTTAGTATATAGAGTATATAGCATATCGATCTAGGCCATAGAAGTACTGTTGGATTATTGTTTTTTTGTTTCTTTTCGTTTTTCGGTTTAGCTCTATCGTTTTGTTTTTGGTTTTAGCTTTACAATTCAGATTTAGTTATATAACAAGTAGGGCTTTAGGTGTTAAAGTTTCGTTCTGGCCAATTTTGAAACATAAAATCGTAACGAGGTCAATTACATTTGGGATAGAGCATACAGCTAGCTATTAGTTATATAGAGATATAGAGATATGGTACGGATATAGTTTCATTTTGATTTGTTTCTGGTTTGGTTAGATCTCTGTTGTTGCTGTTGTTACTGGATATTGTTGCTGTTGTTTCGTTGGCTGTTGGTTTCTTTTTGTGTGTCCTTGGAGTCTGGAGTTTGTATCTTGTATCTTGTAGTTTGGAGTTTGGAGTTTGGAGTTTTGTAGTTTGGAGTTTGGAGTTGTTGGTTGCGGTTTATTTCTTGCTGGCTTCGGTTTACTTCTTGTTAAATATACTTAAAGCTGACAGAGATACATACATGTATATAGATATATAGAGTGTGGTATATTATCTTGTAGTTGCTTTACTTTGTATTGTTTTTTGTTTTTGTTTTTGGTTATGGTTACTTTTGCTTTTTTGCTTTGCTGGTTTCATTTTGGTTTTCTTTTTTTATGCATTTTGCATACTCTTTTATTGTGGGTGGGGGCAGGTGAGAGAGAGAGTCGTGAGATTGCGTGAGAAAGAGATAGACAGATTCGAGTGAGTTTGTTTGGTGAGCAAGTGATTGAGAGAGATAGATATAGTGAGTTTATATAGTTTTTAGTATTTTAGTTCAATTTATTTTGATTTAGTTCTTGGCATTTAATTGTCTTCGTTTTATTTTAGCGTGTACCTATACAGAGAGAGAAGTATAGGGGTTGCTTTTGGACATTTTGGCAGCCGACGGGACGATTTATTTGGAGCTTGAGAAAGAGACAGATACAGGGTTCGGTTAGAGACAGCGTGATTGTGAGTTAACGTGACAGAGAGAGATAGAGAGAGTAAGAACGGCGTGATATGTGATAGACAGAGCGTGAGAGTGAAAAACTAATTTGAATTTGAAAGTAACCCAGAAATCTCTAAGGGTTTTTGAGACCTTTTTTGACCTAATCTAAATAAATAGGGAAATAATAAACAATTCATTTTAGTCAAGGTAAAATTTCTTTCGAAATTTTATATCTTTTTTCTACATACTAATAATATTGAAATGAAAAGATACAATTAAGAAATTAATGTTCTACAATTTATTGAAATCAAATCTACTAATATCTTTCCTAGAAACTAAGAACACATTTCAATAATATATTCAAAAGAGGATTTCGAAACCTTCTGAGACTTCTGGGCACGGATAGTTAAGGGATTCAAGGATTTTAAGGATTCGAAAATTGGTATTTGGGATTTTTTTTTTTAGTGTGCTGGCGTGTGTGAGCTTTTTAAATTGTTGTGTGTGATTGGTGTTCGGCTCGGCCCTTTTGGCGCTTGCTAATTTGATGCTGATTCGTGACATTGGTGACTTTTTGGTGAATCGTGACTCGTGACTTAAGTGATTTGGTGAACTCGTGATCGTGACTTTGGTGTTGGTTCGTGTCCTGTGCTTTTGGCGTGTTGCACTTTTAGCTTCTTCTTTAGTTTGTTCTTATTCTTTTTAGCGTAAAAAATTGTCTTGGTTTTGTTTTTTGCACTATGATCTTTACTCTTTGAATATTAGCTGTAGTTTCTTGTGGTGATTTTGGTGAGAGAGAGGCAGAGGCAGATTTTTGTATTACGTTCATCACAATTGGCACAATACGTTTGCTGTTTTGTTTTTTGGTTTTGGTTTTTGGTTTTTGGTTAGCGTGAGTTTGGTTTGGGATGGTTGGGTCCAAATTGGCAGAGCTTTTCATTCAAGTTAGCAGAAATCAATCGTTAGAAGAGTACAATTTATAATGTGGGGTTTTACTTTTGAATTTTTTTGTTTGGTGTCTTTTCATATTGATTGATGGTCACTTTCCGGGGTCTGGACACGGGCTCAAACACACACTGGGCAAAAAAAAACATGTCTCCTATCAACGAAAGAGACGGAGACGGTTGTGGAAAGAGACAGAGAAAGAGATAGAGGCTTGGCTAGTGAGAGAGACAGATGGAGGCTGCGAAAAGAGATAGATATAGAGCAATGATCGTTGGAGGGCGTAAATCAAATGTAACGAAAACCATAAAGCGAAAGTGTCTACGTAACGAAATCGAAACGAGCAACAGAAAAATGGGACTCAAAGTGAAAGGCGCGCACACATACATAAAACAGAAACAGGCCAAGGGGGAGGTACAGTGCGACCCATTTGGATAAGTCCCTGCTATCCTATCATCTACATGGTATAAGCTTTAGTATTCTGCCTTGGATTTTGCACACCAAAATAATTGTTTCTTTAGACTTCTAATTTCTTGCATTAATTTAAAGTATTTCCTATAGGAATGCCAATCAAATACTTGGTACAACTTCAAAGGCAGACACTCCATTGTCCAGCAATCAGTTTCATATTTGTGCTTCCATCCTCCGATACAGTAGTTGTATATTGTTTGATTTCAAATTCCAGCATTTCGGTGTCGAAGATCCCCCAAAAGCCGACTTATGCCCCCGGCACGCACTGTTCCAATGATGCCGATCCCCCCTGTAGCCCGTAGCCCGGCAATCCTTTGACCAACCCAATCTGGCCGAGTGCACCCTTGGGTTATAATGAAATTCAGCCCAAGTGGATGAACAATGACTGCTCCCCAGCACCCACAGTGTGTGTGTGTGTGTGTGTGTCGAGTGTGTAGAGTGTGTAGAGTGTGTGGAGTGTGTAAGTAGCATGTGTAATAAGTATCATGTGCGCTGGACTGACT